CGAACGGACATTTGACCCTGGTTCCATCCATATACCATAACCGCGCCGAAGAGAATGATCCTCCTATAACTTCCAGTAAGCCATCTCCACAGACCTCCGGCCACAGTGTTACCTGCTTCAAGCGCATCCTCTCCTTGGTGCCCTGACATCCTGACTCTATTTTCATTTTCATTGAGAACCGAGAACCTTGTTATTTCGAAGTTTTTGGTCAGCTGTTATATTGTGCTAGTTTTGATGTTCCTAACAATCGGATTTTCAGGTGCCGGCTCTGGTCTAACATGTCCAGCGATGATGACACCATTTGGTGGGATGCTATCGTACTCTATGGGTGGTACGGCTGGACCTTTCCAGTCCGGCTCTACAGTGACGCTCATGTGCACTAGTGGATCTGTCACAGGTACATATCGCTGAGTAGAGTCAATCGCTGAGTAGAGTAGGGGTTTGGAACTGTGAAAGCGCTGGTAACGCAGGAGCTGCGGGGCGCTGTTGGGGCCCAGTATCACAAAATAAAATTGAGCGTTCAAGAGCTCCATTACCCATTTTTAAGAGAGAAGTTGTGCGATAGTGGAACCATGATCTCAACCCTGACGGGAAGAGGACCTATCGTTGAAAATTGGTTTCTCGATCTCCATGTAGCTTTTCTTTCTAGGCACATCGTCGGCGACCTGTACGAATGGTCAGTGGAGCCCACCAACACTGGGCACCTGCTCCACTACGGGTGCAGGAACGGGAGGTCAGTTTTGAAATTTTTAATTAGCATTGTACTCAAATATCTCGTCGCCAGTTCATCTAATTTCGCCACCGTTCCAGGTATTGGTAACGGCCAAACCTGCTTCCCAATGTTCCCACCATTCGGAGCAACCCTTTCATATTCCAGTGGTGGGATGAGTGGGCCATATCAGTCCGGTACAACTGTGACTCTTATGTGCACTTCCGGATTTCCTACAGGTATGATTAGAAGAAATTAGTGGAGTCTGTTCTACTCGTGATGAGATGCGCAAAAGCCCCGTATTGTGGTTTTTCGATCCGTTATTGACTGAGTAAAACGGATAAAAGAATCATTATAAAGAGAAGTGAAGATTAAAACCAAGGATTGGGACAGAGTTGGGGTATTTTTGCTCTTGGAACTGTGTGCAGAGATGGGAAGTGGAATGCCGTGGAAGAAAAAGCGAGAGGAAACCGTCGAAGGTCGAAGATGAGACTAACTCTTCCAGTCAGTGAAGGAGGCTGGCTTGAGAGCAAATGATGTCCGAACAACTTTTCCGGACATACAAGCCATCGCTGGTTCGGTGCAATCAGTCGCTATGGCAAACTGCCCTGCTGAATTCACCTCCTATGCCAGCCACGCACCAGCTCTTGCGGTGGGCGGTCATAGACAATGCCAGGCGGTCATAGCTTCAAACATCTCGGTTGTAAAAAGAGCCTTTGTAGTTTTCAGCAGTGACCGTTTTATTCACTTCATGAAAGAAAACTTGTGCGCCTTTCCCGAGTGATGCGGGTAGCGCTGGCGCTAGGAGGGAACACCTAAGACTTGTGCTAGTTCACGCTCAACCTGCCGTGGGTCTGCCTGACCAACTGGAGCAACGATCATTGTCAACTCTGAGTCCACGTACCGATCAGGCGGAACTTTCAAGGTTTCCCCTTGTGAAAACGTTTACAGCAACCTTGTGCAGCGCACTCGGATACCTGACCTCACTATGTAGCATTAATGCGACGACTAGATTAACTGCTGATCCGACAAGTATAGGAAGCATTGTTGCGAAAGTTTTAGATTACAGAACTCTGCAAAGCTAGAGGTAAGAGCTAATAAAAAAAAAAAAACTCGCACACATATGCTCTCCTTACATATGCACCAGTTAAGTTGTTGGAAAGGTTCAAGCAAGTGAAAAATCAGGATTTTTTGAAACCAAGAGAACATTCCCAACAAAAATTTCTAGTCCGATGGCGTATCGCAGCCCGTTTCGGTCAGGACCGTGTCGTCACTCCTCTAGTTGTGTCTCAGCCACATCAGTGATGGAAGAGGCTTCTTTACCCGCGCTATTCCGGCCCTTGCCTTTCTGTTGAATTTTGGAGAGCTCAAAGTAAAAAAACACATGCTGGAACAATATTTTGATTTTTGAGACAAGCTTCTTCTTTATAGATGCGATAAGTCCTCCCAACACTCTTAGAAGGGCAAAATTTGGGCACTGAACAATGGGTCATTCCGTTCAGGATCTCATACGGGGGCAGCACTCGAGGATCAAAAAAACAAGGGAACTCGAAAAATTTGAGACCTGCACGTGCGTTTTCAAATCAAAATTTCGAGACTACGTGGTTTCCAAATGAGCCCTTCACTGCCAAAATCGACTGGCTCATAACCTTTCACGTTTGTGTGGAGGTACAATGCGTGGCGCATCCCAGAAAGGAGTTAATCAATGTCGAATGCTTCATCATTTTTATACTAGTGAAAAATGAGTAGCCCTAGGTTCTCGGATAAAAGCCACCATCCCTTTCTATTTCGCAGGGGTACATCCACTGGCAAATCGATTGAGTGTAGGAGTACCAGAATCTTGTATAAACAGAAGTATAAACGTTTCTGAGGGTACCTACTTTTTTCCATAAAACACAGGCGAGATCATAGGTGAACTCTGGAAGGACTAGGACCCTTTATGTTTCACAAGCGATATAAACTCTCAGTTTTAGGCTCTTCCACAGCTACCTGTTTTAATGGTCAGTGGAGTCCCGCCACGCTTGGCACGTGCTCATCGACTGGTACTGGGGGTCTGCCAGGTTTGCTTTGAATATCGAAATATTTGTTCGTTGGTATTCTTCGCTATTGCCGGGCCAAAATTTTGAAGCAATTTTAGGCACCGGTTCTGGCCTCACATGTCCTGCAATGATGACTCCATTTGGTGGAACGCTCTCATACTCCATGGGTGGTACAACTGGACCATTTCAATCCGGCACAACTGTGACCCTAATGTGCACTTCTGGATTCCCCACAGGTAGGTTTCTGATTGAGAATTATGAATGGAAACGTTTTTGAAGTTTATTCTGAGCCCATGCTGACGCTAACGGGGAATAAGCAGGCCTTTTACAGGTAACAGCAGAAATGCTTCATTGAATGCTCTATTTTAACGCAAATAATGACACGGAAATTTTTCACTTCCCATATGGGGAGGTTGTTCCTAGACGTTTTAAAAGGCAAGCTTCGGGGTAAAATAGGAGTAGAAGAGTGTTCACCAATAAAGCTAGAGGTGAGGAGTGGACCGGGAAAAAAGAAAGCGAGGAAACCTCCGGTTACGCCCCAAAAAAAACCCCTCTATTTCAGCCGCATTCCACCTTGGGATAGAGAAGGGGCGTGTTGGACGAGTTTCACGAGCTTAGCTCCAGTTGCTCCAGTGCCAATGACATTGAAGCAATGGAACAGTTGCCGCGACTGCGCCCGCGCTTTCCAAGCAGTGTCACGCGGCAGGCAACACTGGAAGGTGGAGCTTGCGGACGTGGAGGCGTGGGGGGAGGGGGAACTGCGGGTAGAGCGGCTCCAGCACCTTTATCACGCACTTTCAAGCCGGGGCACGACATCAACGCTCGTCTGCCTGCCTGCTACGCTCGGGTATGGAACATGCGAGCGAGCATAATCCCGGAGCGTGTCTCCGAGGAACATGGAGTAATCAAAAAGTCGTTAAATACGCCTGGCCTATTGCTGAATACTCCACTGGTAACATTT